AATCATAGTGGGAAAAAAATGGAATTTGGACACTTTGAGAGAGTATAATTCCTTCACTAAATAATCTTATTTCATAAAAACATACGGTGGCACAGTGTTATTTACTGATGAAGTTTCCAGCAAAATGTATTGCTCAGTGTCATATCAACGCACTCACATAACTTTCAAACTTTGCATATTGACCTCCGTTATATCTTATCCTTCAATTATATTGGTAGTAATATTTTCCATATCCATAATGGTGTATCTTCCTCTCCTCCGCTTACTGAAGCTGGAGTTCCTCAGGGTGCTGTTCTCTCTCCGTTTCTCTTTTCCTTCTTCTTACATGACTTACCTCTTTCAAACGAAATCAACTTCGTCAAATATGCAGGTGACCTGAATGTTTCGCTTCCCATTAAGTCTCAGTCAGACTGTTTCAAATTAAATAGCTTCCTGTCGGACATCAGTCAGTGGTCTAAACTAAATGGCCTCATGCTGAATCCCTCAAAATGCCAGACTATTGACTTCTCCTTTAGGCATAAACGAGATCTACAAACACTAGTAAGTTCTCATGAAGCCTGTTGCATTGAGGGGACTAAAATTGAAACTAAGTCTAATGCAAAATACCTCGGTCCAGTTCTATCTTCCAACATCTCATATCCTAACGATTTCTAAGAAAGTGTTCTGTCTAACCTACTACATTAAGAAACTAAAACAATCTGGAATCACCCAACCTCTACTTTCACAATTTGTGAACTCTTGTATCTTACCTATTCTACTTTACTGCTCCCCATTAGTCTTTCCTGGGCTACTGAAAAAGGACTATACCTCCTGAGAAGGATGTTGAAGGTAGTTATTAGGACTAGTGGTGTAAAACTCAGTCAGCTTGTCACTACATCAGTTGAAAGGCATCTGAATACATGCGAAAAATGGTCTAAAACCATACTCTCCGACCCCCAACACCCCCTCTATTCCCAACTCTCGCCTTGTATCTCATCAAGTAGAACCAGAAATCAGTATAAAATAATCTATGCTAGTACAACCAAGTACAGGAACTCAACGATATCATACTTGGCCCGTGTTCTAAGCGACAGAGACAATGTTAAGCGTGAAACCTATGACTTGCTTTGTTATTAACAATATAATTTTAGGCTCTTTTATTTCTCTCTTATTTTGTATTCTGTAGTGAACTCCTTCTTAAACATACTTAGCTACCTAAAATATTAACACTGGCTTCCTTTTTTGTACTTTACTATATTCCTTCTTTTGTGTATCTACTGGTTCCGACTATACTAGCACTATGAGTAGTACAAAATTGTCCTGTCATTAACCATCATGCAATTATTAGTTTTGTGGTTGTTTTCTCTTATTTTCTATACTTTTCGGCAATATTAAACTGACAACCATTGGTTGTGAACGCCATAGTCGCCACCTTAAAAAATTTTTTATTATTCAGGATTACTCACACTACCACCACAAACACTGCATTAGACCTTGGTAGACTTTGGTACTTTTTCGCATTTATAATTATTTTGTGTTTATCCTGTTTTTGTTCTTTTTTTGCTGTTGGTGTCTTCAGTTTTTTTTTGTTTGTTTAATACTTATTTTAAATGTCGGTAAAATTAGATTCAAATATTGTAGATATGTGCTGAAAATTCCACACTGTACCACTAGTACTGTTTCTGGAATAAAGCAAATTATTATTATTATAAAACACACTTAGCTACCTAAAATTATTAACATTGCTCACTTTTTGTACTTAACTCTATTCCTTCTTTTGTGTATCTACTGGTTCCGACTATATTAGCACTATGGGTATTACAAAATTGTCCTGTCATTAACCATCATGTAATTATTAGCTTTTGTGGTTGTTGTGTTTTTTTTTGTTCGGCAATATTAGCTGACAACCTTGGTTGTGAAAGCCATTATCACCATCTTAAAATTTTGTATTATGCAGGATTTCTCACACTGCTACTACAAACACCGCATTAGACCTGACAATAAAAAAACAACCCTGAAATGTTATTTTATGTTTGTTTAATGTTGTTTCAACCAAATTAACTGATCATCTTGGCGATAAACATTCTTAAATATCATTTCATAACTTCTTGTATGACTATAGCTTTACTGTCACCATGCATAAACATATCATAGCTTCCACTACCCAATACTGAGATATTATTTTATGTTGTTTATTTTCCTTTCTACTTCTTGGTATTTTTTCGCAATTTAAAAAAAATTATTTTGTGTTTTTCTTGTTTGTATTTTTTTGTTGTTGTTGTCTTTATATTTATTTTTTGAAATACTCCTTTAAATGATTGATAAAGTTAGATCCAAATATTGTAGACATGTTTTGAAAATTCCACACTGTACCACTAGTACTGTTTCTGGAATAAAGCAAATTATTATTATTCCTGTTGAACATGCTGGGTGTAAATCTAATCAACAAAGCTTCAGTGATCAACCTCTCGTTACACCTACCTAAATTATATTTCAGAACTGTAGCTCTGTCCATCCGTATTGTGTGACCATGTAATAGTGCATGCACTGAAACTGAGTTTTTCTCTAAAGTGTTCATCTTAACAAGGGTCAAACATTGTACGCTAAGATAAAATGCTATTTTCCTATAACCTGACTACTCTGCTCTGAACTGTTATCTTAAATTTAGTAATACATCTTGCAGCAGACTGTAGTAGCATATATTTTTAACTCCTAATAATTATTTTAGCCCCCAGGGGAATTCCAAATCTGTCCTAATCATCATTTGGCAAGTATGTTCGACACATATAGGTGAAAAAAATACCACTTGTAACTAATTTGGTTCTCAATTAAATTTTTTCATTAAAAGCAATTATTTAATCTACTCAAGGTGATTGAAGTGAACATATGTACTTGTTTGAATCATGAATTTCATGAACATATATTGTTTATACTCAATGAGGCTGCTTTCTATTACCAATTTACTATTAAAAACCAATTAGAATAAATATTATCTATGTCATAAACAGATATTGATTAAATCTAGTCGATGAAATCATACCTTTTTATTGAGTTTAAAACCAAATATAGAGTGGAAATTCGATACAGAAATGATTTAATAGATATGAAAATAACTATCCCCAAAAATGTTTTATTTTTCCACTTCAAGATAAGGTGAACTAAAATAAGACTTTGAAGTTTATTTTATCACAAACCTGCAACAGTTACAGAAACGAAACAGCTGTCCAGTACTCCCAGGTTTTCCAGTGGTTCTCTAACTGATGTCAGCTCATGATGAAATCCTCCATACAATCAAACAAAATCCCTACCAAACCAATACTTGAGAAACGTTTTTGTTGAGTGAGAAAAATGACAGTCACATTGTGACCTAGTTTTGAACTCATCATTCATGCATATCAGTAATCGAGTAACAGATCAATCAAAAAATTATCAAGTTGTTGAAGCTGTATTGATTTAAAAAGTAAGATGCATTATTTGTAGTTTTTTCTATGTCTTTACTTTCCGAGTGGAACAAAGGGCTCCAAGTTAGAGGCTTGAAGTTTCGGTACAGGATGGGGCTGCTAGCCTCATGCCCAACCTTCCCTCCTTACCAGTCTTACTACTGGCTTAGCGAGGTAAAGGAGTGCATCGGTAGGGAATTGAGTCCCCAAACCGCCTGCGTGGTTGGCGAACAATCTCCCGCTGTGCCCCCGACGCGGTTTTCCAAAACATATATTTCTCAAGTGTTGATTTGTATGGATTTGATTGGTTACAGGACTAGTCATGAAACTACATGGATTAGAGAACCATCAGATGGCCAGGGAGTACTGGTGTGGTGAGAGCTGTCTGCTAGCCAAATTTGGTAGACTGCAATGTTTACGTCCATGTTTACGTCCCAAATCTTGGTCATGAGAAAAACAAGAACAAAGACTTCGCGTGGGCGGATACGATTCGCAGATATATGGTCTGACCTTCAGAGAAACAGCCACAAAGAGATGACAGATTAACTTTCGGCGAGAAAACAACCAGTCGGAAGACTCTGTTTCTCCGCTAGCAATAACGAATAATAATGTAGGTAAAAATATATAAATATCCTCTGATTTCCTCAATAAACGATCTATTGTCTGGCCCTTGTCTTCTGTCATTACACTGGAAAGCTGTTTCGTCCCAGTTTGCAACTCTTCATCATCGCCCATCGGGGTTCGAAGAGTCTCAACCTAAGTTGAAACAGCTGTCCAGTTCTCTGTGGATTTCCAGTGGTTCCCTAACTGATATCAGCTGGTGATTAAACGTGTCGCAAAAATATTTGCAATTAAGTGTACACAACAGTAACCTCATGTTTAGATTTCAGTGTTGAAAGTCCGTGAAAACACAAATATATATATATATGTGTGTTCATGAAATAAATTTATCATTTAAAATATAGAGATAAAGTTCAACCGATGTAACGTCTAATGTTAAAATAATGATTTGCATCACATTAACTGTTCATTAAGATTTATGCAAATGAAACAATCATAAAATCGAAAGGCAATACTTGATGACAACGACTCACTTTAACGGGAATCATTCGGCAGAGGATGTAAAACTGTCTGACGTTAAACAACAATACTATGTTTAGAGTTATGCATATGGAGAGGCCGAAGGGGAACTTTCAATTGTCCTATAAACGCCAGTCCACAAATTTCTGTAATTCGTGCAGTATCAATTTCATAAGTATTAGTGTGATGTTGGTTTATAGAATGATGCACTTAACTGTATTTTGAAAAATAAAAGCAACTGATAATAACATTGTGGTGAACATGTTAAATCGTGGGTGGTTATCTGTTAGCTTTTACTTGTTCCCAGTGTACTTCCATGAATGACATATACGTACATATATATTCATTTCTTTGTACATCATGAAAAATAAACTTCCTTTCATCATTTCTCAGAAAAGTGTTTTTTTAAAAAAAAGGAAGTTAACCGACATATACAGAAGAACATGTTAAAAAAAGTGTAAGACTACTACATAGAACAAATTAATAGACATATTCAATGGCTTAACTCACTTGAATTTCTATCCCAGCCAGTGCTATTCTCGCCTTGCGTATTTCATCTTCTTTGCGATAAATATCATCTTGCAGTTTCAAATTAGTATGAACAGCGTGCCTATGAAGATCGATTCTGTGATAAAATGTGAATAAAAATAACATAATACGTCAAGAATGAAGTTAATAAGAAGAGTGACCTGATAATTTATGTGTTATATACATCAGTTCATGTATTCTTGATGGATGTTTTGGATTTATTTGATACAATTTGATGAAATAAGCAATTCCTCCACCTTTCGAGAAGTTAACAATACGGAGAAAGGGGAACAGGCATTCAACGTCAAAGCTTTCATTTCAAAAGCGATGAGAAGTTTGTCTGTTAACTATAAAGGGACTGAAGTATACAGAGGTTGATAAGCGGCAATAATACATTAATCATTGTCGTGTTGCATAATTATAACACTATTTTAATATTTATAGAGGAGCTGTGCTGCCATTTCTGTACTGTCCAATTACTTTGGCATATTAATGGAAACTGATTATGCATATTTTACCCTAATTGATCGCTTTGTAATTATAAAAATGGTTGAATGCATAAAATTGTTCATTCTTATTTTCCTTTACTTCAGTTGGATATGGAGTATTTGCCGTATACGACGTCGGAATATTATAAATTCAAGTGTGTCGGAAAATTCTATCGTAATCTTCATTCAAGTTAGTTTCAGTAGGTGTTTGTAATGGAATTATAGCTTGGAAAAAACCTCCTGAACAATCGAATCACAATATTTATGCTTATTTGGATGTTCCGACCAACTTCGTAATTATTGTCCATTTTTCTCCTCAACTGCATATCATTGTCTTGACATTTGCATATCACCTGTTGGCTTAATGCCTATTATTTGTCTTTGTCCCTGTTTAATCTCTAATTTTAATGCTTCCCTTTGTAGTTGTGCGACACATTGATAATCTATTGGTTTACGATATGATTTTGTTTGAGTGAGTGAAGGTTATTTTGAACTTGAACTGTAAGCGGGAATTGTTTGTGTGTGATTCGTGTGGAGAGAGTTTTGATCCCACCTTGATGCGAATATTCTACATGATTTCCAGGTACTTCTGAAGATTGGATTTTGGTCAATGAATCTTGTTCTACAGTACTTCTTTTATACTATAAAATTATCTAGCCTTTATGGCTGCCTATGACACTGTTGGAATGATTTTCAGTTCCTGATTTTATTACTGTGTAATAAAACCATAGATTTAAAGGAGAATAATCGTCGTTTTGCCGTCTTTGGAGAGTTTTCTGACTGTGCGTGTCTCGATGAAGTTTCGTAGAGCTATAAATTAGAACGCAAACGTCTGCTCCTTGCGATCAAACCATAACGAGTTGGTTTTGGTCATTACAATGATAACCTGATGATTTTATTCGCTTCATTGTAACACTTTTCACATTTGATCGCGCTGAAACTAAAATTTTTACGTGATTTCTCTTCAGATTTTCAATTTTGTTTAGTATCTTCAAAGTTCACTAACAGTATATATCAATCTGAACGCGTTCAATCTTAATACTATAACAGTGCAATTGTACAATACATTCTACTGGAAATATTGATTCGTTCTAGGTATTAAATCGAATCATTTAGACTCTGCCAGTGAAGACTTCATTCTGCGTAGACCTGTTAATCTTGTTCATTACTGTATCTACAGGTTTCTTAATATTTGTAATATGGACCCACTGTAATGTGTTTAATGACTTCTTTGGTATCCTTGCACTGACCATGTATTTATCATATTTGAGATTCACCAGAACTAGTCTTTCCGATTTCGTTAAGTTAAGCTATGCTTTCTTTTGCTGTTTTGGTGCTAATATACACTGTGCTTCAACCATTTCTGCTATTCTCTTATCTTTTGTACCTAATGCTACCTCTATGTTGAAGACGAAATCCACTGACTTCACTTCACTTCGAAAAAGAAGCTGGAGACTAAAGTAGGTCTACCTGAATACAACGAAGTATAAATGAAATACTTTCTTCTTCTTGTAAAATGAAATATTTTTATAGAAATGGTGTATTTAATTATTATTTACTCATGTATATGTTGCCATGGATATTTCGACGCTATTTACTGAAAAGGTATCCTCGTATATATCAATTTTAAACTGAAGATCTTAGACAATACGCTACACTTATGTTTCCCATTATTTTTTATTGTTAATTATCGCTGCCAGTAACATACAGTAATATTCTACTGTGTAAGAATTTCAAAATGGTGCTTCACTTCCTTCTAGACAACACATGTTTTCTGTATTTTCATGTCAGACATTTATCATCTGTAAAAACATATGAAAAAACATTACCAAAGTGACATTTTTTAATACCACGTTTTAATAACCAAAACCTTTTTGGATAGGAGGGTATGAACAAAAGAAAGTAGTGTTAGTATTGTTGTAGTGTAACAACAGAAGACAAGGGCCAGGCAACAGATCGTTTGTTAAGGAAAATCAACACATATTTATAGATTTTAATGTACATTATTGTAGATTATTGCTAGTAGAAAATGCAGTCTTTTGATTGGTTGTTTCTCACAGAAAGTTAACCTTGCATCTCTTTGTGGCTGTGTCAGATCATCTATGTGCTAACTGTGTCGGCCTACGGAAAGTCTTTGTTCTCATTTTCTCACCACCAATATTGGGGACATAAACACTGACGTCAATTACTGTCTACCAACTTTGGCTAGCAGCCAGCTCTCACCAAAGTAGTATTCAGTAAACGTTGATTGGACATTAGGTAACAGTCCTTAGTTCTGACACTTTGATTGGACACACCATGACAGTCCTATGGAAAGTCAGTAGAAATCCTGAATAGCTGAGTGGTGACGTCTCTGATCGCATTATTCGATTCTTATCTCACGAGGGATATGAGTTCCTTCTAGATTGTCCGTAGACCTTGCTGATGAGTGCAAACAAGAATGAAACCTGGATCAGACAATGCATCCTGCTGATTACCTCCAAACATCTTACAACAATTCTTTGAAGCATATAATATCCCTGATTTAACCAAAAGTTTATTTTTCTGCACCAGTAGATATGTGTCAGATGTCAGTTCAAATAGTGGAAAGCATTCAGTAGAACTGCTTCGTTATTCCGCGACTGATAAAGTTCATTCAGTAAAATTTTCCGTTCATTTTGTGACACATTATTATTATTATTCAAGTGTTGGTTTGTAGGGATTTGATTGGTTACAGGATTTAATCATGAGCTGACATTAGATAGAGAACCATTGGAAAACCTGGGAGTACTGGACAGCTGTTTCGTCCTAGTTTGGGACTCTTCAGCAGTACGCACCCACCGGGATTGTTCCCACGGGTTCCGAGTGGAACATAGGGCTTCAATAACACATTTCCACTTTGTGCTACTCTCTGCGGTCGTCTTTATCTGGCTCCAATACTGTCTATATTTTCTCATCACCTCCTGGCTCTATCTATTCCATGTCACACTTGGATCCATATCAAACTTGTCATTTTCGATTCGGGTCCCACTCGAGCGATGGCCTGGCGTGTGATTTCACTTAACGGTGACCTCAGCGTGTGCCCGATCAAATTCCAGTTTTTTTTCTTTTGAGCAGTAGTTTTCACTGAAAACGGAGAGCTCTTCGCCGACTTCTGCGCCTTCAATGAACTAGTGATTGGTGGCAGCGTATACAAACACAAGGATATCCACAAGGCTACATGGGTGTCATCAGATGGGCGAACCAAAAACCAAATCGACTTCATCTCAATCTCAAGGAAGTGGAGGCGCAGCCTGCTGGACACAAAAGTAAGAAGAGGAGCAGACATTGGCTCAGACCACTATCTCGTACAAGGGACAATCCAAATCAAATTAAAAGCTTTCAGAGAATCAGGAGCTGCAGACAGACCACAAGCCAAGTTCAACACTCAAAAACTGAAGGACTAGGACACAAAGGACATCTTCACTGCAAGTATAAAAGACAAAGCCGAGACACAAATTAACACTGGCGAAGAGGTCAGCGTCGAAAAGCACTGGAACAACTTGAAGACAGTGTGGAGTCAAACCTGCATGGAAGTTCTAGGCAGAAAGAAGAGACAGGACAAACATTGGCTCACTACGGATACTTGGAGACTGATAGAAGAGAGAGGGATGGTGAAACAAAAGATTCTCCAGTGCACCGATGAGCAACAAAAACAGGATTTGAATGCAAGCTACAAGACACTGAACAAAAGAGTAAAGAAGAGTGCCAGAGAAGACAAAAGGAAGTACTATGAAACCATGGCAAGTGAGGCAGAACAAGCTGCAGGCAAAGGAGACCTCGCAACACTCTACCAAACTACTAGGTACTTATCGGGCAAATGTTTGACACAAATCAAGCCGGTGAAGGATGACAATGGAAAATCACTCACCAAAGAAGTGGAGCAAAGGAAACACTGGGCTGAACACTTCAAAAGACTCTTAAATCGACCACCACCTACAACCCAACCAACAATACCAACAACGGAGACAGAGCTGCCAGTGAACACCAACCCCCCGACGAAATCAGAAGTCCTGAAGGCAATCAAGATGCTAAAAGCTTGAAAAGCAGCAGGACCAGATGGAATCCCAGTAGAAGCATTGAAAACGGACCCAGAGACAACAGCGGACTTGATGACGCCACTACTGGAGAAGGTGTGGAAAGAAGGCAAAGTACCCGAGGATTGGAAGAAAGGATACTTATTCAAACTACCAAAGAAAGGAGACCTAAGTCAATGCAAGAACTGGCGCGGAATTATGCTCCTGTGCATCCCAAGCAAAATGCTAAGCCGCATCATCCTGGAGAGAATCAAACAAGCCCTCGAAGAGAAGCTTCGACCGGAACAGGCTGGATTCAGGAGAAACAAGTCATGCATTGATCAGATCGCCACATTACGGATCATCATTGAACAAAGCTTGGAATGACAATCACCTCTCTATCTCAACTTCATAGACTTTGAAAAGGATTTTGACAGTGTCGGTCGAGAGGTTATTTGGAAACTGCTATGCTACTATCGGGTGCCACCGACAATTATACATCTCATCCAACAGCTATACGACAAAGCTGCATGCCAAGTAATCCACAACGAGTAACTTACGGAACCCTTCGAAGT